GAGGCGAGTTCAAATCCTGTAAAAAGAGTCCTTTTTCCGTCATAAAAGATCCGAAAATGCACCTTGTCGGTCGCGTTGACGTCGGCGCCGTCTTGAAGCAGCATCTCGACAATGGCGGCGTCGCCCGTCGTGGCCGCGATGCTCAGAGGCGTCTGGCCGCACTAGAAATAAGAAATATGCACTGGACTAAGAACGGGAGGCTCATTATACGCCGTTGGATTGGTTGGGGTTGGCATTCGCGATCAGAAGCATGGCCACGATGGCCTCGCGGCTCATATGGGCGGCCAAGCAGAGTGGCGTCGTCCCGGCCTGTATGGAAACCATCAAATTTTTTCCGGAGACATGCAGTGTACCGAGCCAGCATGGTTGACATCCGACTTGGTCTTGATGAGATGAACAATGGTTGGAATCGCGTTGGCTTCGATGGCCGCCAACAGCTCATCGATGGGAGCCTACGCTTTTTTTTAGAATTCAAAATGAATTGTGTGTACCACGATATCCGGAGCCGATACGGCAAGAGCAGCCTAGACCATTGTTAATAGTGACAACTACCATTCGCTCGCCAACGATTGGGACATTAGTGCGCAGCAGGCTGACAATGGCGTCGTGGCCTTTTTCCAAGGCCACGGAAAGCGGTGTTTTGCCAGCCTACATACTCGGTACACACCGCAACAACAGGCGAGCGCACCAGCGTCGGCGTGTCAATGGCAGCGTGGTGCTGCAGCAGTAGCGCCACGAGCTCGGAATTGTTGCTCGAGGCGGCGATGTACAAGGCCGTCATGCCGTGCTACAAGGCGTACATTATTCGAGTCGTGAAAGTCAAACATGCGTATCCTACCGTGGTCGTGCGGCTGTGGACGCTGGCGCTTGCCTGCAAAAGCGCCTTTGCGACGTCGTTGTGCTTGCTCACAGCCGCTGCCAGCAGTGGTGTCCACCCTTCCTACTCCAGGAATGAGACACGCACCATCTCTCAACTTGAGGAGCCGTGCATTATCGGGCTGGTCCACGTTGGCATCGTACTTGATCAGCAGCGACACCACGTCCCGATGCCCGTTTTTGGAGGCGAGGAGGACCGCGGTGAGCCCCGCCTAATTGCACTTCAGAGAAATAGGGAAACATTGTGGTACCTCATTGGCAGAGTTGACGTCGACGCCGCTGCCTAGCAGCCGACTCACCTCAATAAGTTTGCCAATCTCGGCGTGGTGGAGAAGCTACGTGGTCAATATGGCTGCCTGCGACGCCGTGTCGGCCTGGTACCTCGGATATCAACGTCGTCGTGATAGGACGTGCAAGCTCGGTCATGGTCGAGCGTGTTTGGAAGCGAGTTGGTCGGGTGCTCGTTTCAACCACTCACGAAACTGGCGGGCGAGCATGTATTCCCCAACGAACGAGCGGTTGATTCGTCGGGTATGGAAAGGAATCGAGTTAAAACCTCCTAGTGTCCGTGGCCGTCGTTTTCTCCTAGAATAGAGCAGGGTCAATCGACGACTTGCAGCATGACAAGCAACCTCTGGAAGGAGTTCCAGCGCCAATGCATTGCCCGCGAGACCTCTGCCGCCGTGAGCACTCAATGC